TCCATCAGTGTTCCAGCACTGCACATCTAGCTAAGAATGGGCAAATCAGTTTGTTCCAGTCTGCTACTTGCTGCTGCTTCTCAAAACAAAAGGGTTTTTAAAGTTTTTTGATATGGTTAAGTAGCTGAAGTTTGCAGTCCAGCAGATATCTAAGTACTGATCCATGCCTTACTCTGAATCAATTTAGCACTTTGCCAGGACTGAACTTCCAGCCAGCCTTGTGTGTCTGGGACAGGTGTATTGACTTGGAGAGAAGTGCTCCTGTTTCATGGAAGATAAAGTTGGCAGTGGTCACTAGTATTGAGGGCTGTTTAGTGCCTCCAGTATCTGTAGCAATATTTCTGTTGGCCGTAGCTGCTGGGGAACATGGGCCAGATGGTGTTGCTGTACTCATGTCCAGCTGGTGAATCTCCCAAAGGCTGCTGGTTGGCCCTGTGTGAACAGAAGGCCACATAAGAGAGACCTTTGGTCTTGTCTAGCACAGTCACTCTTAAATTGAGCCTCAATGGACTGCTTTTCTCTTCATCCTTTCGCCCCACATTTGCGTACTGTTCTGGATTTCCTACTTCTCTGGTTCAAGTTCTTGACATTAAAGCAAATAGCTGCAACTGTGTAGAACCACTTTATTGTGAGCTAACCTTAAAAAGCCATTCCTCCTCCTCTTTAATTCCACAAATCAGTTAGATTGGATGGTTGGAGTGGGTCATGTCTGCCAATCTGTAGCCGTTCCTGTTGTCTCATGACAGCTGCTCTGAAGGGCTGGCTGCTAGTAAGCTGCCGCTTCCACAGTTGATACCTCTCATGGGCAACAGCCCTTTCTGAGGGACTCGCGTCTTGAACAAAGTCACTGCAAAGTTATATTCATCCTGCAGTTGTTGCTTAATAGCTTGCTGATGTTGGGACACAGCTTTAGCGACTGAACATGTACCAGGGGTCATGGCACAGTATGTCTTCGCTGCAGGAAAAGGTTGATAAAGTTGTGTCTGGTGAACCCGATTCAAGCCACCCACCCGCAATTGGGGTGCTCTGGGGGATCAGAAGCCCAAGAATGTGGGCTAATCCTCCCAGTGCAGCTGTCACCTGTTATTTGGCTTTTGCAACCAGGTCCCAGGCCCCAAAGCAGGAGTGATGCTGTTCAAGGTTGCTTCAGGCGTAGTTTGTTATCTCCACATGCTTTGCAGTCTGCTTTTTGCGTGGTGCTCACCAGTCGAGTCTAGACCTTGTAGCATCCATGAAAGCCAGTGTTTATTTGTTACATTTATATACTGCCCAATAGCAAAAGTTTTCTGAATGGTTTGCAAAGATTAAAACCTCAGAAATATAGTATCAACCCCATACATACAAAATGATTTAAAATGACCAGCAGTTAAAGCTTTTATCATATGCTGTCCATTGCCTGGGTGTGGAGAAAGATCTTACCCAGGGACTGAAAGGGTTGCAGTGTTGCTCTAGAGGGACTCCATTGCAAAAGAGCATTCCATGATCTGAGGGGGGGGGTGGCAGTCCATTGGAAAAAGCCCTCTCTCTTGTAACTTGGCAACTACTGTACCGCATCCTTCCTTCTCTGTCTGTAACTCCCCTGTTGTCATTTGCTCAAGCCTTTCTAGTGTGCCACCCCTCAACTCTCAGCTGGGCATTCTGCACAGACTCCTCCTCCTTTCATTTTCCAAAGCTTCCCACAGCCTGGCCCTTGTATCCGGGTAGATCCCCATCTGTGACCTTTGCCTGGACAGCATCAAGGGTCATTGTTCTTGGGCACTTGCCAAGGGCCCATGCCCCAACGGAGGGGCCACTAAGCAGAGCCTGCTTGTTCTTCTTTTTCATTGCAACCTACTTGTTCATTGCTCCAGCTCCAGATTACAATGCTGGTGTGAAAGAGAAGCAGTAGATGTCATGGTCTCCAATCTTTACTTGGTAGTCCAGCAGGTGCTAGCAAGGATGAGGAAGAGGAGGAACTGCAAGAGGTCCTGACAAGTTGGATGGGAAGGCCTGTTGAGGTTGTTCTGCCCAAGGGCTACCCCAAAAGGCAGTAGGTGCTGATCTCTGCTGTTTGGACCTCTCTGCGCTGAGGTGCTTGCCCCAGGGCCCACGGAAACCCTTTGCACATGACTGTTCAGCCACCTCTAGTTGGAACTGCCTAGCCCCTTCGTCTTTAACCATCCTGTGAGCCCTTTCTGCAGTCCCACCTGTATCTCTCTCAAAGGCTTTCTTTCATGCAGACTTCTTAAGTCCCAGCTAGACCAAAAGCTAAGGGCATCCATGAGAGTGTGTTTGTTTGCCACACTCTTCCCTCGTGCTACTTCGACATCTCTCTACCTCTCTTCTCCCTGTCTCATCCTTCTCCCAACCAATCCAAATTGTACGCTCCTTGGATCAAGACATTGCTCTATGTTACTTTGTAAAACATCCTTGTAAACTGATGTGCCACAGAAATACTAGCATGAAGTTGTTGTTGTGACAGTGTGGACTGAAAGTAAACCATTCTGGGAGCTATACATGACTATTGAATGGTAGATAAAAGCAGTCAGTCAATCAATGTACCCAGTGAGCTTCATGCTGGGTTGGGAATTTGCCCCGCAACCTACCCAGACCAACACTACACGCGGCCTCTCGTGGCTGCTGGCACAGCAGACTCATGCAAAAGGCTGCCGCTGTAAGAGTGCATTTAGTTTTAAGAAACAATCATCTAGCAGCCACAAGAGGAATAGATGGGCCACCTAAGCTTCCCATGGCCTATTTCTCCCCATTTGCACCTTTTCTATCAGTGGGAGAAGAGATACTTGTATTTTCACCCATTCACCCCTTTGATGGAAACATAGCTTCTGAGGTTTGATTGTTGGATTGATTATTACATTTCTGTGCCAGCTTTTTTCTTTTAAAGAACTCAAAGCAGCTTACACTTCTACTAGAAGTGTTAAAATGGCCAGAAGAAGGAGGGTTTAAGCAATCGTGTCATGAAAAAGAGAAACAAACCCAGGAGACAGTCACATGCATTTACATGCATTCTCATCTGGTCCTTTTTTGACTGACTTCTAATTAACAGCTAAAAACCTTCTAACACCTTTGAAAGTGTGTAGGACATTTTGCAAGTTGTTATCTGAGTTGCCAGGTCCTGATTTCATGCTCTAACTGCAGAGAAACTGCTGACTGGTGTAACTTGTGCTGAATCCTGCTTTTCTTGTTCTTCTTTCAGCCATGTATTCATATCTCTACTGCTTCTTCCTGTTTGTGGATGTGTATGTGCAGTGTTAGTTCCTCCTCACTTCTTCCTTACAAAGGCATTGTTCTTTTAAAGTTCCATCACAGCATTCTCTTTAGTCTTGCTCCTATTTCAAATTTTCTTTGGTGAACAGTTTCTGTCCGGATGGAGGCACTTTTTGCATTCCCTCTTGTATTCACACACAAAACTAAGCCACGATTTACATTAACTTTACTCTGTTGCTTTAACCATGAGTTGTCTTGCAGATGAGCAAACAAAACTGTGACCTGTTTTCCTTATTTCTGGCTTGTTTCTCTTCCACTCATTTTGCTATTTTTCAGAACAGTTTTGTTTTCTGGTTGCTATTGTTAGAACCTTTCTTGCAGGGCAGACAGCAGTGCAAAAAACAGGGTAACCCACAGTTCTGGTTTCAAACATCAAGGCAAGCTTTGGTTTAAACAAGCCAGACTTCATAAACCATCCACAAACTATGGCATGTGTTTATGATTTGTAGCTGGCAAGCAAACCATGGTTGTTCACAGTGTTGCATTTAGACACAACATACTAGCTTTCAACAAACTACATCTTGGCTTAATGTTATGTAGGAACTAGAAAAGTCCCAAAAAGTCTGAGAATTCCCTGCTGGAACATGTCTCGAAAACCGCTGTACTTGTTTCCTTCTGCCTTTAGAAAAAGGAGAAGATATTTATTTGCCTTGCTTTATGCAACACATGTCTGCCAGTACAGTATCACTGTTTAAAGGAATGGGTTATGTTTGAGCAGACAAGGTATCAAGCAGATGGGGAGAGTAGAGGAGAATCAGGGAAACTCAGCGGCCATGACAATTGCAGGATATAGCTCTGGAAGAGGAGGAACCAAAATAAGTCAGTTGCAGCCATGCCAATAGAAGGTATATCTCATTTCTCCCTCTTCTGCAGTCATTTGGGATTGAAATTTTGCATGTTTACTCAGGAGCAAGTCCCACTTGAGCTAAAATTGCAGGTGTTCTTGGTGCAAGCAGTGCTTCCTGGCACTATGGTGCTTCCCGTTTTTTTCATTGAAAGGTGCCATGACTGTGTTCCTTAATGCAAAGATGGGCATGCTGATTGCCCTCTAGTTGTTTCAGATGACACTCCCCATAAATGGCAGGCAGCATGGTCAATGGTGTGGGATAATGAGAGTTTTAGTCCAGAAGTCTGGAGGGTACCGGTTACCTGTCCCCACCTGCACGCACTCCAGAGCCTGCATCCCCCCACCCCAATCTGACCAACGAATTTGACTGGCTCAGGTTTCCAAAAAGTCTTTAAAGGGATCTGTCCCACTCCTACCTCATGGAAATAACTGCCAGCTGTTCACATGCATAACCCAGTTTGTGGTCTGTATGAGCATGTATATGATCTCATGGAGGAATGTTGCCAGTTTATGTAATTGATCTTCACAGTCTGTCCTTTTCCAAGTGCTCTGGAGCAAACAATATGCATATTGCCTTAGGAAACGGGGCTGAATAAGTCAGACTGAATCCAGAAGTCTAAAACAGCAGGCCTTATTTCTAACAGAATGAAACCACTACCACCAGTTCACCTACTGAATGCATTGTTCTTTCACAAAAGAAAACCAACCTAAAAGAAAATTATTTGGTTCTGTGCAGCTATTAGCCACCTGAGACTCCTTTTTGCTCTCAGTGCCAGTCTCCTAGATCTGCTGGGCTCAGGTTGCTTAGGGCTTTTATATGTGGTGTATCTTGAATACAAAGACATATGTTGGCCTGAACTTCCCTAATAACCTATCCCTTGTTTCCCAGGTCACTAGAAAAGGAATATGGCTCAAGAAACCAACCATAGCCAAGTGCCTATGCTTTGTTCCACTGGATGCGGATTTTATGGAAACCCTCGTACAAATGGCATGTGTTCGGTATGCTATAAAGAACATCTTCAACGGCAAAATGGTAGTAATGGTAGAATTAGCCCATCAGGTAAGTGTATATCACCAAAGGGTATTGGGTTGACTGGGTTTTATTTCTCTACTCACATATTTTAAGTAACTTGCTCCACTGCTCAGTCAAAATTGCTGAAGCAACAGCTTGGATGCAAACAGTAAAACCGAGCTAGTCCTGCAGGGTTGCAATATAGAAGGACATGATACTAAAGTAAAGAAGGTAAGGGATTGAAGAAGAAAAACCCATCTCAGGCACCAACTCTTTTAAAAAGAAATAGTAATTCTTATATTGGTGTACTGGGAAATGTTCAGGGAGAAGTTCAGGTCTTTCAGCAAATTGCTGGAGTGGCCCTGGTTCCCATTTTGTCCGTGGCCGGCTGGGATTGCTGCTGGCGGTGAGAGTTGAGGGAAGAGCCTGATGGAGCTGGTCTTTCCAGGAGGGCTGATTTGGTGTTTCCTTCTTAGATGCATGGCTAACATCAAGGGTAGGCAAGCTTGGGCACCCACCGCAACCCCGCAGGGGCCCACAGTTAGAAACCTCCTAGAGTTGCTCCTTTACAAGCTGTTCTCAAGCCTGAGCTATGGCTGTGGTTGTCGGGAGCTAAGTTTTCCCTTCCTTCCTTCCTTCATGCTTCCAAAACAACAGACAGCCTCTTGTAAAATAGCTCTGTATTGCCAATTCACAGCTAACAAGCTACAGCAACTGAAAGATTAGTCTCTGTACATTAGTTGAGCCCAAACCAGAATCTACTTCCACAATCCCCCCTTTTCAGTCATACATAAAGCCATTTCAGAGGAACAAATTTCTGCATAAGAATTCTGCTCTTCCTGTGTTGTGATGCTGACAGTAACCACCCATTCCACCATGGTTGCAAATTTCTTTTAAGCCTGCATGTTAAAAGCAAAGGCTGATGTAAGCCTTGCCGCTAACTTGGCTTTGATGGCACAACTTGGTGCCTGCTTTCTTAATGTCAGAGGCAGATGGTCACCCTTTCTGGTTCAAAGAAGGCGGATTAAGGAGGATTCCTTAATTATTGGTAATGTGAGACATGGAGCTACCAGCATTGCAACCCTTAATGGATGCACAGTCATACTACCTTCTGACATGGCCCAAATGCTGTCTTTACGTTCATGTCTCTTTTTTCAGCAACTTCTGTTAATAGCCTAGCTGAATCTTTACCAGTTCAATGCACTGAAGGCAGCATCCAGGACGCTCCATCAACACTACACTCGACAACTGTACTGCCTATGCAGCCAAGGTAAAAGTTGTGTGTGTGTCAGTGAGTGAGTGTGTGCACACACATGGATCAGAGCAATTCCCCTTTTTTGTAAATTGGATGAGCTATGCCATATAGGTCTATGTTCCCATTATTATGATTAATGTGAGTAAAGGTCTGTCTAGAAGAAGAACCTACCAGCCTGCATAATGTGCTCAAATTGTAAATGCAGGCATTGAACGACAGTGGCTAGGCAGCCATGAAGGGAGCATTGAGAAGAGTGCCTGGGTACAAGCATGCCTTTTAAAACAGGAGGCAGCCCCCTCCCAAAACACCCCACCCCGTCCCAATTGGAATGACGCATACTGAGAAGCCACGAAATGTTGGGTTTCTGCTGGAGATGAAAAATGGTGAGGAACTACGTGGCTGTTCTAAAAGAGGGCTGGGACCCTGAACAAGGGCGCTCCTGCTGGGAGGGGAAGACACCGCGGCACTTAGCTGCAGGTCCCTCTTGCTGACCACGAAGAGCTGGGGGAACGCAGATTTAGTCAGGGCTTTTATTATTTTGTGCACTCGATCTCCCTCCCCTTCCCCCCCCCCCCCCGTCCGCCTGTCCATCCATCTTGTGTAATGAGCACAGAGCTATAAAGATAATGAGGTATCTGCCTAGGAAAATGGTTCAGGACCAGGTGTTGGGACTGTATCGCAGATGCTTTGAAACAACTTCACTCACTCCCTGTCCACTTCTCAACCCAGTTCAAAGTTCTAGTGTCTACATTTTTAAAAATTAAGGCTGACACAACTTGGGACTTGGTCTGCAGTCCTTCACTCCACCTGATCACCAAAAGTTCTTCATCATGGCCTCTGTGCATCGCGCATTATGGGTGCTGCGCCTGCACAGCGCCTGTTGCCGGGAAGATTTAATAGCTTTAACAGTTTTTGGCGGGAACTCTGCACCTCCCCACAGAGTGTAAATGGGTGGAGTGCCCACCCTTTCCTAGTCTGCTTGTGACCGCCCTTCGCCATGCCTCAAGCCTTTTTGCTTTGCCTTCTCGTTTTTTCTCTTAGCCCATACTCTTAAAATATTTTTCCTCAAACTTTATCTCTCTCTACAACTTTAACTCCTGATCCAAGTTCAGCCCCATCCGAACCTCTCCCGCATTCTTCTCATTGTTTCCTCCCTTCCCCTTCCCTCCCAAAATTATATATATATTAAAAAACACCTGTATAGTCATTCTTCTCCCATACACCCGCCGTTTGCTGTTTCTCCTCTCCTTCCTTCGATGGCACAGCAGGCAGCTTTCCGCAAGTGTTCCCAGCATGGAGCCGGTGCAGTCCTCCACGCCATTTGATCACCAAAAATTATAGGAACAGTATCATCTCACAGGAGTTGCTGTACTGCAGTTAGCCAGGGCCAAGGGGGAACCGCTTTCTGAACCAATGCTCCCTCCTCCATCACCTTCTAGGCCTGTGTCAAGCCCGTCGTCGCTCTTAGCAGAATCCGTAGCAACTTGCGAAGTGGAATGTACAGATATAGTGGATAAAACAGGACCTGAAAGAGAAGATGTTCAAGGTCAGTAAGAAAGCTGGTTGGAGGCATCCAGTGTCTTTTTGTTCTGCCTGCCTGCTTTTGTGTTTCGTCATGCACAGCTGGAGAGCAACAGAAGTGTTGTCCTACTTGATGCATTAGGCAATAACTCAGCAGTGCCATGTCTCAGAAAGCTGCTGCAGTTAGTGCTGATACAAAGGTGTTGGGTGATTTTAATGGTGCACCTTGGTTGTGGACGAGGCACAGACTGGTCCTCTGAAATGTTCTCCTGAGCCTGCAAATGGCTGCTCTACAGTGAAGGGAATTTTCAAGCACTTACGGGGGGGTGAGGTGTTGTCACAACTGGTGGAAAGCAATATCTCTGTTACATTTTTTCTAATTTTGCTGCTTTTCGGAAAGGGGTAAACGGCTTGAGCTGCACTGCTAGAAAACTAATCTTACCAGCTTCAAAGTCGGACTAATAAGAAGTAAGCCTGCAACTACCTGCAATATTTGAAATTGCCCTGTGTTTATATCTTGCATCAGTCAGTACTATACGAAAGGGTTCCTGTAGAGATTAATGCCACAGCCTTCAGCGTTTTCAGATGTTCAGGTTATTTTTTTGAGAATCCAAGCTTCAACGGCCTTGCTCAGCTGACGTTCACTCATTCCACTGTGTAGTTTCACAAAAAGGGGTGATCCCTGTGGGTTTTATCAGACCAAGGATAGCACAGTGTGCTCCAGATGGTTTGAACTACAAGTTCCATTAGCCTTGCTCACTAGTCATAGTGTCTGAAGCTGATGGGCTTCAAAACACCTGGAGGGTGCCTTTTAGTTGGATTGGTTCATGCTCCTGTTGGATCCTCAAGTTTTCCAGCAAAGTCAAGGGGAACTTTCATGTTTTCTGTCAATTGTGCTGTATGTAGCAGTACTTTCTAAAGTGTTAGCTTTTTGTTGCAAACAATACTCCCAGGATACCTTAAAGGCTAATAAATGTATTGTGTCATGAACTTATTTTGGGCTTATGCCAATGCCCCTCCTTAATCTTTAATTTAGGACTTCTGTTTTGTTTGTGCTGTTTTAAAAACCAGTAATGCAATTCTAGGAAATTCCTCTTCCAAAACAACTAGATTTCTCAGTAGAACTTAACCTTTTCTGGGCAGATGTTGGGGCATCTTTGTGGCCTTCAGACATAGCGGAAAATGGAGAGGCAGGCAAAAAACCTATCTTGTCCATTTCAGATGTGTTTCAAAAAACTTAATGCATGTCCTTTCAGCTTCTAGGAAAATTCTGTTCAGTACTGAGTGCTTGGTGCAACTTACTCCCTTGTTAAGGGTGCATGGGATTATCTGAGTGTTTCCAAAGTGCAAAGATACAAGCACCGCTGTGCGCCTCCCCCCCCCCCCCCGGTCTCTCGCTCGCTCTCTCTCTCAAGATGCACCATTATGGCTTCACCACAGCTTTACTCAATGAGTACTGTTATGGGCAATCTGCCAAAATACTTATCTGTCCCTTAGAGACAGCTTAAGCCAGTCCCTGGTCATGTGCTTCAGCAGCCTGTGCCCTTAGATACCAGACAGTAATACCCAAACCATGGTGTGGCTCAAAGTACAGGGGTGCTTTCTCTTTCCTCCCATTGCTGTCGCTTCTCATTAGACCGGCCTCCTCCAACCCAGCGCTCTTCAGGTCTGTTGGGCTACATTTTCCACCAGCTGACATGGCTTAGTTGGGGTGATGGAAACTGCAGTCCAGCAGATCTGGAGATCTCCCGGTTGGTGGCAGCCACACTAGTACAGTGCGGGGTTTCTTGTCTTTCCCCCATAGATCCTCAAGCAGGCACTTCCAGTGTTGCATTGGTGTGCTGGTATGAAAGCTTTTGATGGGCAGACACCATACTTTCAGTGTTTACTGTCTGGACTTTTAGTTTCCTCATCTTGAAAACGAAGTGCCTTGTTCTAGACTAGATTATTATTATTATTATTATTATAACATTTCTAGATGAATTGTCTAGCTCAGCCATCGTTCCTCAGATTGGTGGCAGCTCTAGCAGGGGCTCAATTCCCATCTGCCGTGGCCTGCGCACTGTTTAACTAGAGATTCCAGGGCTGAAAATGGGCCTGCCTGCACGCAGAGCATGTTCTCCATGGCTGAGCTACAGGCCCTCCTTTGCATGGAGCTCTGGCTACTGGCCTTGACCATTTCTAGAGCATCGGCTAGAGCGGCCTGTGTATGCTTCTGTGAGTACGCCATAAACCAGGAGTGGGCAGCCATTTTCTGGCATGGATGCCAGCAGGTAGGGCCATGGGTAGCAAGGCCAGAATACAATGAGGAGGTTTCCCTTTCTCCTTCCTGCCACTCCCTTGCCTTTCTTCTTCTGCCTTCCCATGCAGCAGGCTGTCAGAAAAGGAGCCGGCTGCTCTTGCAGGAGGTCTGAACCGATAGCTTGCAGAGGGGTTTTGAAACTGGGCTGAGGACTTTGTGCAGCCCTGGACCTACAATGTACCTCCATCTCAGATCCATACCATTTGGAAGCTTATAATGCTGTGTGGTGAGAAGCAAAATCTTAAGAGATGAGATCCAGAGGCCTAGTCTAGCCCAGGCACCTCCTTTAGATCCAAGGATACTTAGGAAGAAACAAAAACACCTGGGTAAAAGATGATACACAATTCTGTTGAATACAAGGATGAAGCATGGGTGCAGTGTATGAAGAAGCAAAATATAGCTTGCGTTCCCCTTTTCTTGGTGGCTGTGTTGGTTTCCGGAATAGGCCAGGGGTGCTATGTGGACCTCCAAAGGAGCCTGAAGAAGCACATCAGTTCCCCCAACCAAGAAGGAAAGATGCCTCTCTTGCCATGGATTTTATAAAGTCTTTCCCTCCCCGCTCACTATTCATTGTGTATAGGCTCTAACCACTACACTCCCTGGTCCGTCCCTGGTCCATCACTTCAGGTCCGTCCCTGAAGAAAAGGACGGACAAAGCCACTTCCATAAGACAAACGGTCTCATTCCTAGAGTAGAAGCAGCTCTTATGTGCAGAATGATTAGGGAAGGCAGCACTGAGGCTCTGCCTAGCAAGCTGAAAGTTGTCAGCCCTTGGAGTGACCACGAGAAACTATCCTGACTTTGGGATCCTGGGAACGTGCATCACGCTGCTATCTGCTGAACCTTAATAACTTTCTTGCCATTGTTCTGGTAATGCCCATACAATGCAGGTGACGCGCAGTGATCTTTGCAACCCTTCTGAAATTTGGCCTTGCAATAAAGCTGTAATAAGTGCAATGGCCCAAGAAAGCTGTAGGGGTGTTGTGTGTGTTGGAGTGATGGGGGACACCGAAACTGTGTGCCAGAACATTGGAGAAAAGTGGGCTTAACCAAAGGCCCAGGCAGGCTTCTCACTTGTTACGAGGGCTTGAGTTTTTTCCCCCGATGTTGCAAAGTTTTCTAGCATTTGCTTTAGTTTATATGGATAAGTTTCCATCCTTGTAAAATAAGCACATACATGCAGGATATTTTGGCATTCGTCTCTGCATGTTTAGGAAATCCTGCAAATACCCCAAAGGCTAAGTTAAGTCAAAAACCACACCAAAATCTCTGAAAACAATTCTTTAATGAAACCAAAAACAGTTTAAAATTAATTGAAATCACACATCAGGGGAATGAGAACCATGTCTTCATGCTAAGAAGGCAGAAGATGGCAAACTTGTGTACTGACTTGGGTTCCCTGCCAGAGGAAAAAAGGCAGGGTATAAATTTAATGCAATTAGGCAATTTGAATCAGCTTCAGTGCACTGTGGGCATGATCATGGAGAAGGGAGACAAGAAAGAAATGCTAATTTCAGAGATGATTTCAGTGGAGGGGGTAGGAAGGAATTGAGGAGGCTGAGCAAATGTAGGGGTTTTGAAAGTTGGTAGGAAGGCATGAAGGAGTGGCAGAGCTCGAAAGCCAAGGGGATTTAGGGTTTGGAAGCAGGTAGAATATTAGGGAAAGCGGGGTGCGGGGGGAGAAGAAATGGGGTTATAGATTATTTAAAAAGAAAAGAGAAGACATTGCAAAGATTTACCTATTTACATCTGCCGACTTGCAAAGTTCTGCTGAGCTCCTTCTCAGGGAGGATTTTTGAGCAAAATGTGGGAGGGGTCCCTCTTGGATGGGAGGGCACTTCTTCCCCCCTTCCCCCTCCCCACCTTGTGTGTGTGTGTGTGTGTTCTGTGGATTTCAGTTACTCTTTTTATACTACCTTATGGAACCTTTTTCTAAGGTTGCTCATAGATCTTGGAAAATGGATTCTTGCATATCAGACATCGAGGGAAGAAAGAAAACAATGAGCTCTTCTCTCCTGCATGATGTGTGGAAAGCATCTAGGTGACCAAGGAAGCCATGTAGGGGGATGTCGGTGACTAAGGAGCCACGTTAAGCATACCTGCTTACACCACATTGGGTTTCCAGGATGCCACTGCTTTAAAAGAAGTTGAATTCTTCGTTTTCCCTTCTATTTGGCCTTAACAGCTTAGGAAATATTTCATTATAGTGTCTTCTGTGGTTGTACTTTTGACACAAAATATGAATTTTGCGGTTGCCAACATTGAGGAATTAAGGTAATCCAAGTACAATGGCTGGACAGAAATTGTACACAAGAAATTGCACTCCTGTTGGGAAATCGGGGGCCTCACCTGCTTTTTTTTTTTTTTTTTTGCCCTCCACAGATACCAAAAATCCCCAGTCCCCTTCCAGTTGTGAACCCTTTCTGTTCCAAATGGCACATTTTGAAAGGGGGTGCTTCATAACATCAGACTTGGGCTGCAGGAAGAGCTAGGTAATGCTCAAGGGAGAGCTCCCCCTGCATGCACATGCAAACATGTACACATACACAGGAGGAGGAGGAATTGCCTGCATGCATTCAGTAATTTGCATGGAGGTCCTGAGGCACAAGGGGAATTAGGAGTTTGCATAACCCAACTGGTACAAGGGAAGCATCTGTTTAATTCCCCACACTGTTTCACAAGGGTGACTTGAAAATTTTGTGCAGGAAATGTGGGATATAAAGCTCAAGAAACAGATAGATGGAAGCAGGGAGAAGGCCTATGCAAAATAAAAGCAGTCTGGCAAAATGGGATGCCATATCTTTATATCTTGGGTTCCTAGAACTCTCTAGCCATTACATGCTCCTCTAGGTTATGTCTATACCTAGTCTGCATTTCAAGATAAAATAGTCTGCATTTTAATGGCCTACATTTCAAGCTAAGGTAGACAATTGAAGATTTAAAGTGAGTTCACAGCCCTTTTATTATTTATTAAGAGCATTTTACCAAGTTTCTCAGTGGAAAAAAGTTTCTAGAGTGCCTTACTAAAATCAGTACTTAGCCAGTTTGTACCTTCAGGCTTACAGTCTGCAAAACAAAAGGAAAGCAGACCCACAGGGAAGAGGGGAAAATAATCTCTGGCAGTAGTTTTAAGTCTTCATATTGACCGGCTTGATTGGCAACAGTGTGAGGAAGGGAGAAAAGGAAGAAGTCAAACATTGCTGGCTCCTCCGCAGAGCCGATGGAGTGGCTATGTTTCCCTTCTCTCGCAGCCAGATGTAATATTTAGGCTGTCTTTCTCGTATTCTGCTTCTAAAAGCCTGTGTCTGAAGATACATGACATGTGTTTTCTTTTGGGAGATCACATGTTAGAGTCATGTGCAGTGAACGTTCATGGACTCATAGAACAGGGTCCGAAGGGGCCTGTAAAGCCATCAAGTCCAACCCCTGCTCAATTCGGGACTCCAAGATAAAGGCACCAGATAGTTGTGCAACTGCCTCTTGAATGCTTCCAGTATGGGGTACTTTCCTAGGTAATCAGTTCCTGTGCTGTGCTGCTCTGACAGTCAAGAAAGTTTTCCTGAAGTCCAGCCCAAATGTGGCTTCCTGTTACTTGAGCCCATCATTCTGTGTCCTGCACTTTGGCATGACAGAGATGATATCCTGAGGTGCCTCTTTTAGACCACCTGTTAAAACTCATCTGAAGAGTATGCTGCTAGATGGGCTGGTGTGTAAATTATATGGATGGTATGGATCCATACAAAATCCAGTAAGGAGGAAATATTTCTGTATTAAGGTGCTATTTGTACATAGCATTGTGCTGGACCTTTGTGTGGAACAACTCAATGTGACTTCAGTTTAAGATCAGGCAATGCTGCTGCTTCTAAACTGTAGCTGAGTACTTTGAACGTAAGGACATAAATGCCATGCTGGATCAGACCAAAGGTCCACCCTGTCCTAGACACTGGCAAAACAGCTGTCTGCAGGATTGCTCAAGCAGGATAACCTCCTCCTGCCCAGCTCCTCAGCAACTGATGTATGCAGGCATGGCGTCTCTGGGAAAAGAGGTAGCACATAGCCAGCAAGGCTAGTAGCCACTGATAGCCTCTTCCCTCGCGAATCCGTGCAATCCCATTTTAAAGCCATCCAGATTGGTGGCTGTCACCATTTCCATGGCAGTGGGGAGCATGAATTAAGCTATGCAGAGGAACTGCTAGCACCGGCATGGATGTATGTGTCCACCTGACCTAGTAAAATGTATCTTCCTATTAGCTATTGCTCATTCTAGTGTCTAATCAGTTGTTTCAGGCTTCAAGTCCAATCGACCCCAGTCAATGTGGTCAGGGATTCTGAGGGTTGTAGTCCACAGTATCTGGAAGGCACCAAGCTGGAGATGGCTGATCTTCTCTGGTTGATCAGTAGTGATTATTCAAGGTCTTGGGAAGAGGTGAAAGGTTGCTTGAGCTGGAAGTAGCAAGGCTTGAGGCCCACCACTGGCTCAGATTCCTGAAGACAGGCATTTTAGTATTCGACTCGCCATTCTGATGGGGTTGTGTGAATGGATATTTGGATAACCTGAGTGTGACTCTTCTGCAAGACCAATGTCCTTCTGTATGCCACGTTTAACAGGAAGAAGTTCCACACACATCTACCCACTGTGTTTTTTGCTTTGGTATGCATATATGCTCATCTACATTTGATATATTTCTGTATGGAAATACTTTCTGTCTAGTGGGAGAAGGGTGCATGTGAACTGATGCTTTTTCTTTATTAAACAAGTATATGGCATTTTATGGGTGGCTTCAGGAAGGTGTTCTACATGGAGCAGAATTATGCAGGAGTTTTTACATACCTTCAGAAGTGAGGACTCTCTTCTAGAGACCTTAAAAGTGAAATGAGAAAATGCCATTTGTGTTGTTTGCTAATATGTCTATTAAATTGCATTTCTAATATTCTCCCTTTTAGAGTGCCTGTTTCTCTGTGCTAAAAGACACACCATTCTAAATTCCCCCTACACTGACAACACAAAAGAGCTGACCCTATATAGTTAAGGAAAAAGGGGAGGGGGAGGCTTTTTGCCAAGCTACTCTGAAGTGGAAAAAATTACGTTCACGTCTTTACACCAGGCTATCCTCCTGTATTTCCTATATTCTGTTTCCAGTGATAACAGAGTAGGTCAGATCTGGATCCCATACTATACGATTCATCTCCAGTAGCAGTGCAGCCTTCAACCTGATGCATTAACAGAGTTGAAGAAGTTCTGCATTGTTGTAGCCCAAAATTGAAAGTGTGTGTGTGTCGCTTTTGGTGGGCTGTTTAACAGTAAACAAACACAAGCAAGTTTAAAACTGAGAAGACAACCTGTTTTTTAAATATATATATATATAGATATATATCAAAATACATACCTATATTACATGTCCCATTGAACAAATAGAACCAACATCAGTGGATCTTGCCGAGACAATTTCAATAGACAGTACCGGAGAGGAATTGTCGATGGATAACTCAGATTTACCTGGCACTACCAGGGGCTCAGAAACAGAGTGTGATTATGACGCAAGCCTAGAAAATAATATAGACGATCCCGATTTCCCGGATGACAGTGCGAGAGTGAAAACGAAGAGGCGTGATACAGATTTAACACTAAACACAGTAGGTAAGTGAGCTTCCTTGTTAATGGTAGGTTCTAACAGTGATTCCCAAACTGTGTGCAAGAACTTGAGAGGAGCTGGCGTGTACCTTCAGAAAAATAGCTACCTTCTAGGACGTAGCCACTGTGTAGAGATGCCCAAGCATATTAGTTGCTTGTACATGTGCCCACCCCGCCTGCCCTTTCCTTTTCTCTTGCTGCCCCTGCCAGCAAAGTGTTATCCCAAAAGAAGGATGTAATGAGGCACTAGGTTTCCCTGATCTTGGATTCCTGGTTCCCTATTTGGTACAACCAAGAGGCAGCAGGTAAATCCCAGAAGCATCATGATTGCCAAGAAAATACAGTCTTATCCCTGAACTTTGGCTGACTGGGCACGGAAATCTTAACTCTGCTCTTCTACTGTTGCTGAGAGGATGCCTCCACCCTCGTTCCAAGAGCTGATTTGAGAAGCAGCAGGTGTATTGTTCTGATAAGTAGCCCAGTGAGCCAACTGTGTCTCCAGTCTTAATCCTCGCAAGGGAGAATCTGTGCCCCAGCTATCAAATGTCTAGGAAACACTGTCTTGTCAAACAAAGGCCAGGAGCTTCCCATTCCAATAGTGTGAAGACAGATGTGATTTGTTAAACCCACTGATTTCAAAGATAGACATCTTTCTCTGTGTGTTTCCTTTGTCTCCTTGGAGTGAATGGCAACTCAAGCGTGCTATACAGTCTGGATCATGCCTGTCTTGCCACTTGGCATTAAAAGGCAGACCTCAAACATGTCTGATAGCCCTTTCTTGTCCTCATCTTTGGTGTGAATATTGTCCTCTACTTGCAGAATGCTCCTCCTATCATACTTAACGCTGCTTAGTTCGTTCTTGAATGCATGGTGTGGTCTATTTTTAAGCTGTTCTTTTTAGCTGCCTTCTGACAGCTTGCAAGTGTTCTGCTCCTATGAGCTTTCTGTCTTTTCTGCATGTTTCTGTATTTGAATGTTTGTACCTCTCTATTCAATGTCATAATTTTGTGCTAATAATCTTCCCCTCTATTCATGCTTCTATTTGCAGCCTCAAAACTTTCAACTTCATGCTGTTCAACATGGAATGAGAGGGTTGCAGATAAAATAAGTGTAACCATGAAATGCAGTCTTCTTGCTGTGTGAGATTTTGCGTTTTTTCCATCAAATGTGTTTGTTATGGAGTTGTGGGATCCTCTCTCTCTCTCTCTCTCTCTCTCTCTCTCTCTCTCTCTCTCTCTCTCTGTGTGTGTGTGTGTGTGTGTGTGTGTGTGTGTGTGTGTGTGTGTTTCTTTCTCTTAGTTGGCCATTTTTTCTCTGGCCATCAACACATTCCAGGAGAAGTCACCCTGAAATTAAGCAGATGACCACTTGCAGAATGTAAAAGAAATGGGATCATTGGAAAGCTTCATAAGAGCTACTTTGGGTGTGTACCCAAGGGCTTCTTTTCTCAGTTAGATTCTCTTTTCTTCCTGCGAATATGCAGTAGTTCCTTCATGTCATATTACAAAATGCTGCAAAACTCCCCAGTTCCAAAAGCAATCTGACGTGACTGAGGGAGCAAAGGAAGTGATCTCATACCCTTTCTGCTCTTTGAAACACCCATAATTTGTTGACTTGGAAGGCACCTAGGAGGCTCCCTAATCCAGGCCCCTTATCCATATAGTCTTCTTGCAGCTGCACCACCCCTGACAAATAGCCGTCTGGCCTCTGTGAATGCTTTCATTGCCCTTCCAGCATGTGCCAGTTGACTCTGACTGGCTTTTTAGGGTCCAGGTCTCAATATTGTATTGCCTGTTGATGGCCCCCTTGAAGTGAAGGGTTAGGCTTGAACTTCCAAGCTGCTCTAATCCCCACCCTAGAATTCTGACCTGGAATTGGGGCCCTGTGCAGCGGGGTGGAAGGAAGGTGTAATTGCTACATACAGATTGCAAGCAGTGGCTTGCCTGTTTCACTGTAGTTTAAAGTAGCCACAGTGCATGCCGGGCACTGTTTGTACACTGATGGGTACGACTTGTCATATTATCAGGCAGCATGGGTCATTAAAAAGGGAAGTAGCCCTCCAATAAACTGTGGGATGGTATGGGTTTATTTGAGGGTTGTTTTCCCCATCAAGTAACCTTTGGTTCAGACAACAGAACAAGCTGCGCCCTGGTTGGTAATGCGCCAAGCACTGCAGCCTGCACTGAATAAGCCTTAGTGGTTTACCTAAGCTACCATGGTTCTGCAAACCAACCAGGCTGATGCCTGTTTGAACCCAGAGTTGCCTAAAGTGAAAGTCCACATTTTTGCTTGTCTTCCTCTTTGTGAGAGAATGTTTCTTCACTCTCTGTCAAGGGTGCTGGAAGAATGACCACCCTTTCTTTTTAAGCAGAGGTGGAGCATCTGGCTATTGTCCAAACAGCAGCCGGATCCTTCTCTGCTGGCATGTGGCTGAGACTCTCAGAGAACCTTCTTCTAGTCATGTTCTCCCTTCTTGGTGATCTTGGTGAACTACTTGCTAAAATCTGACTTTCTAGCCTCTTTCCACATGGGTAGCTTTCAGAGTAGGCCAGAAATCAACAAAGCATGTGAACAGTGTAGTACACCCATGCCTCCAACTCCTTGGGTACGTTGCTGTTGCTTTCCCAAGCGGATGCATAGCTTAAGTGAAGTTGAGCCATGGCCTTTTTGAGTCGCTGCTTTTATTTTTAGCCAGTACCCTATACCAGTTCACCTGTTAGAATGGTGGACCAAAGATTCTGGTCTTGTTTTATTCTATAGGTCTGCCTTCCCCAAGCTGGCACCCTCCAGATGTATTGGACTGCAACTCCCATGATTCCCAGCCTGCATGGCAGTGGCATATCTGGAGGACGTCTGTAGCTGAAGTCTCCCTTGCTACTAGCACAATGTTTCCTGAATGTCTAGGACCTGAAGCAGTTATTATTACAATTATTGCTTGAATTGCAATTGAACATCAGGAGCTGTTTAGTGAACCACCCCATTGATGCTGCCTCCTTGTTTAGCTCTCCAGATTGTCCCATTTGTGACTCAGAGATGGGTTGGCACTTTCAGGCCCATGGTGGGACTTCCCTCCATCAATCCACATTAACGGGAGGGTGCATCAGAGAACAGGTGCCATTTTCCTTCCCTTCCTCCTTCAGGAGGCGACCTCTTTCCATACACTGGCAGACCAGCAGGGAGATAGGTGCTGTCTGTGGTTCTCTCTACACTCCACAGGTTGTTGCTCCAAATCAGTCCAGTGTATTGGCTTGGCTTGACGGTCTGCTTAGTCCCTCTAGGACAGCCTTCCCCCACCTCATGCTTTGCAGATGTGTTGAACTATCAGGCCTGTTGATGCTCAGCCAGCATGGCCGTTGGGAGGCGCAATCTAATCCATCTGGACGGGCTTCAGAGTGAGGAAAGTTGCTTCAGGATAGGGGTGGGGAAGATGTGGCCATCCATAGGTTGTTGAACTGCAGTTCCCATAGGCAACAGTGATGTATGATAGGAGTTGCAGTCCAGCAGCATCTGGCAAGGCATGTGTTTCCCACCCTGGTTCTTGGCACAGAATGTGGGAATTTTCTGCTCCAGGTGCCAATTCCTGAATTATTTCTTAGATTGCCCTGGTTTTTCTAACAGACCCTGGCATAGCTAACCGTTTGATAAAAGCCTTCCAACTCTGAGAGTTCTACTTGTTTGCCATTTTTTGATTTTTTTTACACTCTTGTTCATTCCTGTGTCCCAGACCTAACTTTTTGTGCAGTAAGTCAGGAGTTGGTCTTCTAACAGTATTTTGTTTTGGTCTTTCCTTCTTGCCCAGAGCTGTAGATAGCTGTCCCTTGATTGCATTCTCTTTACTATCTCCCTGCGTTTGAAGGTCAGAAAAAGGAATTAAAAGTTCCCCTCTAACTATGCTACCTGCAGCTTGTTCTAACAGTGTCCTTCTTTAAAAAGCTCCAGTTCTTGCTCTTAACTATTCATTTAATGTATTTTTCGCACTATCCTAGGTAAAGGAGCAAATATATGAAACAAAATTCAGGGAGCATATTAACAAACAAACAAAAAATAATTCAAACTTTTATCAATGGCCAACTTTAAAATGGCAATTAAAATGCAAAATGGCAGAATACTCTTTCAAAACAATAAAAAGGCCATGAAATAAACAATAGCCGGAAATGAGTGATTAAATTGCTAGTGTGCCAGAGAACCCCTGGAACAGGACAAGAGACTTTGCTCTGTACTGGAAGACCTGGTGGACGGAAAATATGCATAGCTCCTGGGACCAGAGAAGTTCTGGAACCTACAGAGCCTACTCCTCAGATGCTTCTCCTGTGATTACCTGCCCTGCTTCAGGGGACCTGAAGCACAGTCACTGATGGTGACAGGCTGGGGCAACCTGATCCGGGAAGTGGTGGACCTTTGGGCAGCTTTACACTGAACTGCCCAATGCTCACATGGCACTCCTTCGTCTTCCAGGTCCTTCCTCAGACTCTTCCATAAAGTGGTTGACCTAAGCCATGCTTTCTCCAGCCAGGTTCCTTCCAGTTCCGCTTAACTGTAACATCCATCATTCCCAGCCATCTTAGGAATGCTTGATCCCTTTGTCCTGTCCCCAGCTAAAATTCAGTGTTAACTGTGTTGCATCTCTCCTGTTTACCCCACATAACTCTTGTGACTCCCTTTCCTTCCTGTGTCCCTCATTGTTGGCATTAGGGTCCTGCTGCTCTGTTCTGAAGACACATGATTTAGCAATTTTTCTGAAGCCGAGTTGGTCTAGGCCTGGTCAGAGCCTACGTAGATGCGGTGACAATGTCACACTCAGACCTGGGAAATTGAGGTTTGAATCCCCACTAGCCATGAAGCCAACTGGGTGACTTTGGGCCAATTGTGGACTCTCAGCCTAAGCTGCCTCTCAGGGTGGTGGTTGTGTGTAGAGGAGAACTATGTAAGCTGCCTTGGGTTTCTCCCAAGAATAAAACAAGGTAAGATATGAATGTAGTGTAGCAGTAGATGTGAGATTCATGTCTTCCACCTTGAGCTCTGTGATGAAAGAAAGGCGGGATTCAGGTAGGACTAATTTAGCCTCCAAACTTCTCAGGAACCTCCAATCTCAAGGGAACTTCAGGTTGTTTGTTCCCTTTGGTTTTCATTCTTTGCTTTTGTTTACTTTGTAAAGCGGCACAATCAGTAGGAACAACAAGGCCTAATTCTCCTAGAAAACCAAGCTCTGCTCACGTTCTGCAGAAAACAGGTTAAAAATATTTTTTCGTAGTGCTATAAAAGTTTCGGATTCTCAAGGCCAAAGAACCCCCATGCACAAATCAAAACTTCCCCACAATTGAAGGGGAGTGGGGAGGGCCTTCTTTCCTTTTGTCCCTGGCTTGTCTGGAGGCAATCTTAGGGTAAGAGCCTAGGTTGGTGTTTCCACTGGCCACAAAACAATCTGCAGATAGATAGGAAGCTTCCAGTCAGCTGCTAAATACTCCCAATTGTTAAGCAGCAAGAGGAGACACCAGGACATAAATGCAGCCCCTTTTGGCTAATCTCTGCCTTGTCTGAGCATGCCAACCCATCAGTGTCTAGCTCCAGTAACCCCAGCCAGTATTGCCAGTGGCTGGGGCTGACCGTATGGAGCCCAACAAGATCCAGAGGACCATGAGTTTTCCAGCGAATGTTTCAAGAGATTACCTGATCCTTTTTGAGCAGTGGTTCAGGGCAGGCTGCTTTGTCTAATTTGCTTGATATTGTGCTAGTACATTCTTATTTGTTCCAAAAACTTGACTGCATAGGAGCATAGGAAGCTGGCTTAGATGGTGTGAGACACTGGGTCTTTCTAACCCAGTGCTTTCACTGGGTTGTGAAGCTTTGTTCTGAAGCTTTCCTGGCCTTACCTGGAGATGTTGGGGATTGAAACTGGAACCTTCTGCATGCCAAAGCAGGTGTCCTCCTCCCAAGCTGTGCTCCCTCCCCTTTACTTCTGCTGATCAGGCAACATTGAAAGGGTTTCCACAGTAACAGGTGGTCGTGGTCATGGCATTGTCATCTTTGGGTTTTGCTGAAAGTGAGCGTTAACTGCCAAAGTAGGGAGAGCCAATGTGCTGGATTGAGAGAAACAAGATCCAGGTTCTAGTCCTCTTCTGGCCAAGAAGCTCACGGGGTGACTTTAGGCGAGTTGTGGGTCGTGCTGGCTGTGAGAGATGGGTGTTGTAGCCCCAGACATTTGAGCCTGCTGCGCTCGTGAAGGTTGATGTAAGGTGAGCTGAAATACAGGACAACAGCCTTGTTTCTCTGGCCTTCTGTCAAGGGTTCCTAAAGTTGCCATATGGAAGCACTGTATAATGTGTGACAGAGTGATCAAGGACTGGTGCTGTCTCACCTGCTGCCCACCAACCGTTGCTGCCACTCAGAACCACTCCCACACAGAAGCAGCTGTTGTCATTGTGTTCCACCTCATTGAAGGCTGCTCCTAACCTAAGACAGCTCTTTGTTGTCATCATTCTGGTTTTCCAGTTTCACGCCTGGGGAAACTGGCAGCAGATGCCAGTGACCAGAGGAACAGTGTGCAGACCTGTCCTCAGGTGCCATAAATGGCTTTATATGAAGTCAGACAATGGTCAGTCTTTGTATTGTCTCTGCTGAAACCAAGTCAGGGCACAGGTTTCAAGCTATGACAGTGCACACGCTACACAGGGGAGGATAGCAGCCCATGAGGGAGCACCTCGCACATGGAGATCAACAGCTGAAGCCCTCTGCAGAGGGAGGTTCAAAGGGGGCAGCCATGGGGATTGTGGAACGCCATCCCAACTGTGGAATACTCTCCCCAACAAGGCCCAGCTGGCACCAATATGCCCCTCGGTCCATGTCAGGATACGACGGGCTGTGGAGTGCGTTAATCAGTTTGTGATTTTCATTGATGTTTCTGCTGTCATGTGGGGATGGTACTTTTATATGTATCCTTTAGTTTTATCATAAGTCATTTTTGGGAAAGTTGCCTGACAGATTTAATAAGGAATAAAGGTATTGCTGACTGAAGCAGCTTTACAGGCAGGAGGTGCTTCCAGCCCTCCCCAGGCATGGTGAGGCCCATGTACGTTTTGCCAGCATGCTGCAGAGCTGTTGGCGGTAGATGGGGATGCTGGACGCTAGCCGTATTGAAGACTCATACATGGAGGAGAAGCAGGCAGAACTTACTGGATATGCCAGGAAATCTGTGCAGCAAGTGTGGGATGTATATCCAGCAGGACACAGCACTGCATGTCTCAAGGGTGGGAGGCACACACAGACCTCCTGCTGAGCAATCCCCGTGGTGTCATTCTTCTATGTGGACAATATTGTCTTTTCCCCGCATTATTTTAAAATCTAACTGCTCTTCATATGAAAGAAAAGCAAGAAAGTCTTGTGGCACATTAAATAAGAAACCTTTTTTACTGACATAAGGATTTGTGGTCATTATCCATTGAAGAAACATCTCCATGCTTGGTTTCATCTTTGTACATCATGTCCCATGACCAGCAGAAAGCTTAACATGACGATAGCTATAAAGCCTTCACAGGAAACTGGGCCCTTCTGCACATAAACAGAAAAGGAATCTGGTTGCAGTTCTGGATGCAGCCTGGCTTCAGCATTTTAGGGACAAATTTAAATCCACAGGACCTGCTATTTGTAAGGTGGGCTTAACTCAGATTTGTTTTGCCCTCGTATTCTGTCTCTCTCCCACTTTTCACACTTTCTCGCTCCTCCTCCTCTTTTCCTCCTAGCCTCAGCGTCAGATAGTGCAGAACCTTCCTGTGAAGAACAAAACAGGTCACTCGACAAACCAAAACAGAAAAAAACCCGCTGCTTCATGTGCCGGAAGAAAGTTGGTCTCACTGGTAAGTTCCTACAGGTTCTGTGCTTGACACTTGAGTTTAGAACAGATAGAAAGAGGTCCCTCATGCACAGCATCTTGAGAGCCACCTTGTCATCCATGCCCTCGACCTCTGCTGCCACCACCTTGATGCCCACGCAAGGTGAGCCTCCCCTTGGCCAGGTAGTCCCCTCATCATTCCTACACAATGACAGTCACCCATATGTGTGTGATGCACAGAGACCATCATGAAGGAAGACAGATTGCTCACTTGTAACAGTCATTCTTCCAGTGGTCATCTGTGCATTCATACAATCTGCACAGTCCGGCTAGCTGTCTCTGTCTGCTTGACTGCCTGGGGATGGTGCAGCCTTTAAGGCACTGAGGGACTGGGCAGGCCCCCTCCCCTTATAGCAGAACTCCAGAGGGGTCAGGCAGCCCTGCCTGCCCTGTGACACCTAGTTGCAGAAGTTTCTTCCAGCCTAGGCCTTCTGTGGTTGCTTAAGCCCGTATGTGTATGAATGCACAGATGACCACTCAAAGAACGACGGTTACAAGTAAGCAACCTGTCTTTTCACCAGCCTTCCAGGTGGAAGTCCTTGTATGTACTGACCAATTGGGTCAGATTTTAGACAGAGAGGGAGGGAGGTCTCCCTGTGATGCTATAATCTACCTGCTTCACACACTAGATAGATACTGAACCACAAAGATTACATATTTCCCACCCACAGTAATAGATGTTAGCAGGAATTCTTAAGGAAGAATGCTGAGCTTGATGAGGGAGATTGCAAATTTTAGTTTCTGATTGAATATATATAATTTAATTCAAATTTCTGTATATTTAATTTATCTTGCCTTAAAATAGGGAGCAGATTTTTTTTAAGGAGCATACCATGGAGAATAAACATTTTAAGTTTGTTTTATATAAATGGTGGTTGTGTCAATTCTATTTATGTTAGCATGCTATTCCTAGATATATATTTATTCATTAATTCATTTAAAGTATTTCTAGGTCAGCTTTCAGTTCTCCCAAGCTGACATACAAAAATGAAATGCATTTTTTTTTTAAAAATCCTGATACGGTAATAAAAACAGCAAACGTTCTGCAAAGCAATAAACTCCAGCATAAAACAACCTACAACACAGCTGCAGCTACAACCTAGTCTGATACAATGTAAGCAGGGTAAGCTTACTACAGTTTTGTAGTTTCCGTCCCTAAACTTGTGCTTTGGAATGGTCTAAAGAGAGTCAGATAAATAAATTTGATCTGATCCTACCCATCCTTCAACAGGTTTTGGTGATCTGTTGTGTTAAGTGTTGAAAGTCTTGAAACAAAAAATCCCCACGGAACTCAGTGTTTCACACAGGCAACATTTCCGACACTCTTCTTCCTCACCACTCATTGCGTAAATACAACTAAGGGCACGGTCCTAGGTTGTGTAGACAGAAAAAAGACTAGAACTCCCAGCACACCTCAGCCAGCCATGCTGCAACTGCAGAACTCTCTTATGCCTGAGCATTTGCAGGAATGGGCCGTCGGGGTTTCATGCTTAGGAAAAAAGCCAACCAATTCCCACTGCTTCCTAGCCGGCATTGTGGCCTAAGAGTTTGATACACAAATTTTTGGTTTTGTGGTATCTGGGGTTTTAACAGATTAATAAGTCTATTTCATATCTAGAATACTGATAAAGGAACATTAAGTCATATACAATCATACTTCACATTTGAAGGAAACCAAATTATATTGTCAAATACAAATAACAGAAAAGCAAATATAAAGTACTAATAAATGTTACCTTAACACATCTGCCATAAAGGAAAAAAAGGTGCTGTAGTATTTGGTCAGCAATCATCCGATAATTTATAAACAGGCTGCTTGAGGAACTCGTTATTTGGTATCTAAAGTGAGTTCTTGACAAGTGCCAGTTCATGGCTTGCTGGGGCGTGGGGTGTGCTGCAGGACCTTTTTCTGGCTGAACGGGAAAAGTATTGCACTCCTAACAAACCACTATCTCCAGGGTGGTGTTTTAAAACTACCTTGCATTGTAAGACTATTTGAAGTTGTCCTTTGCTCAGCAGTACAGATTTGTGTTGGCACTTCATTCTTGCTTTTAATTCTTGTCTGCAGCAGCCACTTTTAGGCTTACTGTTGTTAGCATTATTGTTCCTGTACATGTTTTCCTCACAACTTTTCAATTTGTGTTGAACTGGTAAACTGCTTTTCAAATGATCTGATCTGAAATTTGTATAGTATATTGAAGTAAACAATCTTGTGGTTTTTAATCTTGTTTTTAGTTATGGGGGTGGGTGAGGGAAACAGGCAAGAGCTGTAAATATGTCACCAGCAACAAAAATGAGCCATGCACTTTCCTAATATTAGACACCTTAGATCCTGCCATCTCTTTGCAGGGTTTGAGTGCAGGTGCGGAAACGTTTTCTGTGGTGTACACCGTTACTCAGATGTCCACAGTTGTTCGTACAATTACAAAGCTGATGCCGCTGAGAAAATCAGAAAAGAGAATCCTGTAGTCGTTGGGGAAAAGATCCAGAAGATTTGAACTGCTACTCTTGCTGGAATATTAAAAAAATTGACCATCTGCAGATGAAATTGACTTGAGCTTTTTCCCTCCCCATCCACCTCCCTCTTGTACCCCCTTCTCCTTTTAGTCATCAGGAACGCTGGGATGCTCATCCCGAATCATGCATGTCATCAGAAAATAGAGATTTCCTCCAACCACCCCTTTTAGAACATGACTAAACACTCACGTTTTGCCGTTTTGCCCCTGCCTCCTACAGCTGAAGAGTTAAATACACTTTTTACACTTGTGAGATTCTTTATGAGGCACCTGGGGGCTGTGGAATGAACACCACGGCTATACAAGTATTATACTTTAAAAAGTTTTAATTTTAGTTGAGTGCAGAGGGCTTTTATAATACCGACACGAGATATATCGGACAGCATCAGCGCTTTTTCCCCCTCTAGCACTAAACATGCATGTGTTAACCTGGCCATTTTCCATTTCCTTTTTGTACATAGCTTTTTTTCCTTTCCTCTGCAGCACGATTTCTTTCTTTTTTAATAACGGCACAACTAGCAATCAGTAACTGAATGTATTTTAATCATTATGGCTGCTTGGGTTTCTCCCCCCCCCCCCC